CGCCCATGTCCTGAAGGTTGTCCAGCTTCGTCTGATGGGCGACCCATCCTCTTGCGTCCCGAGCTCCTACCGTGTCGCCCGCCAACGATAGTTTCTTGACCACTACCAATCTGCACACACGCAGGGCTCATCGTCACCTCTGGGAGCAGCTTCGAGTTGCCCTTGTTGCGCTCCTCTCGGAGCGCTGCGGCCTGCACGGCGTGCGCCTTACCCGCCGAGAAGGTTGCCTGAACGAGCGGGATCTCCCCTGGGAGAGTGATCGTCACGAACGCCGCGGCCATCAGCATCCTGACGCTGAAGGAGTTTCCGAGCACGGCCCGCATCGGGCTCGGCATGACCTTGGCCATCGCGTTGGTACCCATCAGCGGCAACTTCTGTGTCGCATCGGGTGGCAGGCCGTAGCTGCGGCCTGCCAGCTGCTGCTCTGCGGCCTGCGCCCGCTGCCCGCGAGGCGCCACCGCGGCGGCCGCGGGGCGGCGCGCCGCTGCCCGCGGCGGCTGGTTGTCGCGGCCTCCCGCGCGGCGCCCCTCGCCACGCGAGCGGGGAGCAGCGGCTGATCCAGAGCGGCCGCGCCTCGCCCCGCCTGAAGCTCCCTTGGACCGCGAGCGCCCTGCTGCCGCGACCGCCTCCTCGGACAGGCGGAACATCGTCGGGGGTGCTGCAGATCAGCGGGGTGCGCGGGGCGCGCCTGCGGAGGCGACGTGGCAGTTCAGCTCGATCCCGAAACGGCTCCACACAGGGGCAAGACATTCCAAGGTGACCATTGCGAAAGAGGGAGTGCTGTGGCATCGAGGCCATCGGACAGAACGAACTTTCAGGCTCCACAATCGGGCGTCGGAACGGAGTCGAATACGGGGGGCATCGCCCTTTCACCACAGCGGTAACTGCGCGTTCTTGAGAGACGCGACGAGTGTGAAAACCCAGACCACAGAAGAGGCGCTCATTCGTGACGACGATGGTGTGCACGATCGATTTGCAAGCGCGCCCTCCATTATTCGAGAACCTCTGGTGAGCCGGGAGCGCCTTCCGAGAGTCGAAGATACCCCCACAGACGAACCTTTCGCACCCGAGTAAACCGCATCTCCAAGTGGCGTCAGGGGGAGGAGGAACAGCACGGGCATCTTCAGGCACATCTTGTTCGGGCCCGCACAAGCTCGCGGGAGGGGGAATCGCCGCTGTTCGAGCGGCGACGCGGAGTACCCCTGGGTCAAGGGAAACGCATTGGGCGCACAGAGAGAGCTTTCGAGGAGCTCGGATTCAGCACGGAGCACCAAGCTCCAGACGTCCTCCGCGAGCCTCAGGGCGCACGGGTTGGCGTCAGCCTTGACATGCCCTTCTTCACCCACAGTGGGCCCAGCATCGAGAGGCAATTTACCGAAGAGAGAAGCGATCTCTTGCGGATGCGCTGAGGGACAAATAATCCACCTCCTATATTGTCGAAGGCGCCGCACCCGAAGTTCCGCACGAGTCGGAGCCACCCCCCACCCGCCTGAGGACCACCTCATCCTTCAAAGAGCGGTAGCGGAGCCGAGGACGCCCTCCCTCATCAACAACAGGCCTCCCCTCCTCGTCCTGGATGGCGATTTTTACGCAGGCCTCTCCTCCTAACAGTTTTCGCGCGAAGCCCACCAGGACACGGTCAAGACGTTGCTCCTGAGCCTCCGAGAGAATGAGTGCCCCCAGACCAGATAAGAGAACCCTTTGAACAACAGCTCCAAACACCGTCCTGGCAAGCCTACAAACCTTGTTCTTGGACCAGAAGCGCCCCATTGAATAGTAACCCCTGCGCGCCGCCAAGATACGGCTCTGGAGCTCTCCCTGAACTATGCCATTGATTGCGGTTTGGATCCCGAGCGCGACGCTATCGAATTGCACCCGACCTGGAAGACGAACCCGAGCCCCAAAGACATCAGCATTGTGAGAGTGAGTTCCAGGACCAACGAACGAGGGAGACACCCTGCTTTTGCTTTCATTATACACGTATCCATCCACGGCGAGGGCCGAGCGCAGGTGGCTGTGCGCTCTCTCGAGCGTGCGTTGGGCATGCGTTGACCCCAGGACTACGTGAGTCTTGCTCGTGCCGTCGGCATAGATACCGCAGGAAAGGTCCACGCCGCTCGCTGCAGAATGGGAACCCATGCCGTGCACAAACTCTCGCTAGGCATCACCGCCCTGTCGATGTCCGCAGGGGGTTCCTGCGGTACGAGCGATTGGTCCAGCCACTCCTCGTATGTCTGACGTCGCGAAGGAGAACAGCCCTGCCAGGTCTCATCCCGCAACGCATCTAGCCATTGTTGCACTGGACGGCGGAACGATCTGGCGAAGAAGACCGCCGCGGGCGCGTCGCCCATGAAGGCGCCGCAGAGGTTGTGCAACGTCTGCTCACCGTCCGCCGCCACCACCGTGAAGGTGTTGTTCTCGTGCCGCTGGTGGAAGTAGCACTGGGAGTCCATCTGGATCGAGCTCTTCACTGTGGCGCGCAACGAGGCGAACGTCGTGCAGCCGAAGGCGTTCGCCATATCCTCCGTGGCTGTGACCGTCGAGACGCCCTCCTTGCGAAGACGGCCCAGCAGCGCCTCCTGGCAGATGAGGACGCCCTCGCGGCTCTGGCCAGGTAAGTGGCTGTGCTCGCGGCCTGGCACTGCATCAGCGGGCCCACCATGCAGCTGCGCCTTGAACCAGAGCACCCCCGTCCTGCACAGACCGTGGATGTAGCGCCGCGCTGAGAAGCCGACCTTCTGATAGTGCTTGTCCAAGCCTGTCGCGCGCGAGTGGTGCCACACCGCGGGGGCACGCCGTGCTCGACGTATGTGCGCGAAGATCTGTTGCAGGGCCTTGAAGCTGAACTCGTTGTAGATCTGCGATGGCGCCATGTCCGCTCCAAGCCCCTGGCGATCCCCAGCCAGTCGGGGTCGCGGGACGAACTCGGCGCTGGGGCGTCTGGGGGCCTCTTCAGCAGGAGCGTCGTCGTCGTCAGCATCATCTTCTTGCCGGCGTCTAGGCTTCCGATAACTACCGTCGAAGCGCCTTTTCGGGTCAAGCACCATCATCAGGATCTCTCGAGGGCACCGAGTGGAACGGCGCCGCCTTGCGACGCGGGGCGCGGGCCGCAAGCTCCACGATCTCCCCCATGCCATCCCTGGCCAGCCCGACATGCTGATAGTTGTCGCTGCCCATGGGCTCGGGGGGGGGGGGCAGGTCCTCCAGCAGCTGCCGCTGGCACGCCTCGAAGGACACCGGAACCGCCGCGAAGCCCCCCGCAGACCCAGGCTGGTCGAAGTGCTCCTGAACCTCCGACGCCCTGGGCATGAAGGTCTGCGCTGCGTTGCATCGGCGGCGACGGGGGCCTCCGCGCCTGCCAGCCAAGATATGGGCGAGCCGCCACACTTCAGCGTGCTTCTGAGCCCGCCACGCCTGGCCAATCTCCTCAACGATCTGCACTGTGGCCGTCTCCTGGGCGTGACGCCGAATACGCCGCAGCTGACGAGAGCACCTGGCAAGCGCGAGATCAGCACTGGTGGAGTCACTACCCTGCTCACGCTGGTCGCGTCGAAGCCGAAGGAGGCGGCTCAGCTCCTGGGCCAGCTCAAGTGCCCTGGGGTCCTTCGTGGCAGCACGGTCGAAGTGGCGAGCGGCATTGGAGTAGACCAGGGTGATCAGGGTGATCCAGCGAGCCCAAGCGTCATCGGGCGCACTGGCGTGCAAAAGCATGTCGTAGACGTCGCCAGCCTCCTGGAACTGTGCCTCCAGGTCTGCCAAGAACTCCTGAACCCCCTCCACGCGCTTCAGAGCCAGCTGCCAAGCGGTCGAAGTCCCACGGAAGTCAAGCTGGTAGTCAAGTTTGAGCAGGAGAGGCACATGGTCCTGGAGCCCAGCCTGCGCATTCAGCTTCAGCCTGGGATTCTTGCGGCGCAGGGCCACGCACTTAGAGACATGCTGCATATGCCAGGCGAAGACTCCAATGTAGTCGATGCAGCTCGCCAAACTGTGTCCGAAGTACGTGTCGCCTATGTTATGGAACGAGGTCGCCACGCAGATCGCGTGACGTTCCAGCAGCTCGAGCACCTGGTGTGCGGCGCACCGCTGGAGGCCCGTGGCGAAGCTGCCTAGCGCGGGCGAGGAGACACGCACCTGTTGGCAACTGACGAGTCGAGAACCGAACGTGTCATTCGGATCGAAGCCCGTCAGCAGCGAGGGGCGGCGGCACACCCACGCGAGCATCTGCTCAAGCCACTGGCACATCGTGTCGACAGTGTGGCGGTACACAGCGTGCGGGGTGCGGCCCGCAATGTGCGGCCCGCAATGTGCGTCTCTCGTCCGGATCGTCGGGCCGACGGTCGCGGTGGAAAGTAGAGCACAGGCAACACAATATCGAACCGACCCGAGCGCAACCTGAAGACCGCCACCTTGCTTAGCAGACCAGCTGGAACTGAGGAAACATCATACACGTCGCTGCGTTTGAAGACGCGCTTCCTCAAGAGCAGGGAAATGTCACAGGCTCGATTGGTATGCAATCCTGGTGAGTAGCCCAATCTTATCACGAATTGATACTTCAGGTCCGAAAAACAGGCATGCGATCACTGGAGGCCTTCTCTCCTGTGCTGGTCAAAGCAATAATGTCTGTATACTTGAGTTCCTCATTGATATCCTGGTGCCGCTCAGCATCACCATGCTGACAGTTCCGAGACGCATACGTGAACATTACAATCGAGCACGCAAGCGCACCGAGCGACATCCATGGAATGAGTAATCAGTGCAGGCAGTGAAAGGTCGCTGGGGGGAGAAAATGTGGGCGACGGACGCTGCGGGCGAGCGCCGACGCCAGCCCCAGCTGCGGGAACTCCTGAACCGCTGGGGGCTAAAGGGGGGGGGGCAGGAGGAGGAGGAGGAGGAGGAGGAGGAGGAGGAGGAGGAGGAGGAGGAGGAGGAGGAGGAGGAGGAGGAGGAGGAGGAGGAGGAGGGAGGGAGCGGCAGCATCGGAGCCGCGCTTGGGCCGCCGAATGGCGCGGGCGGAGCCGCGGGGCGCCGCTGGGCCATGCCCTCCCCGCCCCCGCGCGCCGCGGCGGCCCCCGGCGGCGAGGAGAGAGGCTCGGCGGCGAGGAAGCCGAGCCCTGCCCTCAGCCGGTCAACGATTCGCTGAGCTGCTCTGACGCGCACGTTTTGAAGCGTGACACGTGCCGTGTTCAAAACGTCCGTGTTCAGAACGTACGTGTTCAGTCTGCGTGTTGAGCTCCGTATCAATACGCTACGTGTTGCGTGCTGCGTATCGGGGCAGCTAAGACGATTCGAGGTTCGGGGTTTTCGAGGCTCGAAGGTGCTCTGCGTTTTTTCGTTGGCTCCCGGCGGCTTTTTCTGGCCTCGGGATGCCTCTTCCACGCGGCTGCGCCTCGCGGAGAGCACTCCATAGGGGTGCCCAGAAATCGTCCCGAACGGGGCCATCGGAGGCCCGAGCTTAGCTGTCCCGATACGCAGCACGCAACACGTAGCGTATTGATACGGAGCTCAACACGCAGACTGAACACGTACGTTCTGAACACGGACGTTTTGAACACGGCACGTGTCACGCTTCAAAACGTGCGCGTCAGAGCAGCTAAGGGCCCGAGTAATGACCCGAAAACCACCTGGGGACCAGCACCCTCGCCGATCGACGATTCAGGCAACTCGATGTGCAGCGGGGATGGAAGTTTCCTGATTCGCCGAATGCGTGGCGAAAGCGGAAACCTACCCCCGCCCACCCATCGATTCAGGAGAAGCTCAGGCCGGACGAACGGGGGGCAGGAGGCGCCAGGGAAACCAGCTATGTGAGCCGATCATCTACCCTGCCCTTTGTTATCCTGCTCTCTCGCCCTCCCCCGAGAATCGATGCTCGGGCGGGGGTAGGGCTCGGATGCCGCCACCGAGAGGCGACGGGCCGCTGTGCAGCTTCCGTCGCCTGTGGGGCCTCGGCGCCGCCGCCGAGGAGCCCGACTGCATCCTCTGCGCCGCTGCCCATGGCAGCGCGCTGGTCGTGGGCACGCGCCGGGGCCTGGTGCTCGCGCTGCCCCCCGGCGCGGAGAGGCCTCGCGAGGTGCAGCAGGGCTCACTTCGAGAGCTCCGCTTCGATGTCGGTGTCGATGGATTCCGATTCCGGTTCGATTCGGCCTCGGATTCCGCCTTGGATGTCCGATTTCGCATTGGAGGCCTATTGGCCTGCCGATCTCCGCCGGTTCGACTTCTCCCGACGCGACTGCCAATGCTTTGCCGACCCGGTCCACGTCGATCGCGGATCCGACCCATCGACTGGATGCTGGCCGGGGGAGGGGGTGCGACTCTGATCCAATTGTGAGCACGTATCAGGAAGGAGCCGTTGTTGTTGTTGCTGCTGCTGCTGTTGCTATTGCTGTTGTTGTTGGTGTTGGTGTTGGTGTTGTTGTTGGTGTTGCTGTTGTTGCTGTTGCTGTTGCTGTTGCTGTTGTTGTTGTTGTTGTTGTTGTTGTTGTTGGTGGTGGTGGTGGTGGTGGTGGTGGTGGTGGTGGTGGTGGTGGTGGTGGTGGTGGTGGTGGTGGTGGTGGTGGTGGTGGTGGTGGTGGTGGTTGCTGCTGTTGCAAACTGGGGGGCAACAGCACAATCCGAGCCCCAAGAATACCCCTTGTGACAAAAAAAAATAAAAATAAAACAGGGCGCGAGCCGCGGAAGGGGCACGTCAAGTGAAAAATCACACTGGGCACCGGAGGGGGATCCAGAGTGCCTGGCCGTCGGTTTTGGAGCCCTTGCGGGCCGTTTACCCCGCCGCGTGGCCGACAGCGCGTCAGCATGGGCTGGCACGGAGCGGAAGGAAAAAAATTAGAGGTCGACAAACGAGCAGAATCTGGGCCACGGAATCCCACTTCACCCGCGCATTCAGGGATGGTGCAGGGCCGCTGGGCCCCCTCACTCTGAGCAGTGGCCCTGCTCTGTAGACCCCGAGGGGTTCCAGGCCTCCGAAGTGTGGTCGGAGTGGATGGGGTCGAAGGATCGAGCCGCATCGCCGCTGTATCGGCGATGCGGCTCGATGTGGAGCTTGACTGTTTCCACGTCGACGTCGCCAATGCATCACAAACGTCGCCGATGCATCGGCGATGCTGCGCGATCCTCCGACACCATCTACTCGGAATCCATTTTAGGTGGCCTCTAGAGATAGACCCCTCGGGCACAGGGCGTTTTTGTTACGGATGCCCCCGCGCGGAATGCATCCGTGCCATTGCGTATCCACATGATCGCGCCCCGGAATCCAGACCACCACGAGGGTGCAGATGCGGATCCGTTCGCCGCTCGTGACTGAGAGGTTCACCACCCACCAAAAGAAGCCCAACCAACCCGATGGCCCCAATTTGCCCTCCATTCCCAGGGGAGGGGGGGCGTCGGGAAGCACCGAAAAATCACAGGTGGAACCCGTTACCCCCCGCCAGCCCGAAATCTGGCTCTTCGGGTTGGTCTGGGGTGGTTTGATGGGTAGTCCGAGGTGCAGCGGCGCGGCGGCAGCGTGCTCGACGTCGCGGTGGACGCGGCGGGCGCCTTCGTGGCCAGCTGCTGCTCGGACTGCTCCGTGGCCGTGAGCCCGCTGCGGCCGCAGGGCGGCCGCGGGGAGCGCGCCTCAGGCGGCGGCGCGCCGGGCCGCGCCCCGGACAGCTGGACCTGCAGCTACCCGAGGCGTCAGGAGGAGGAGGTCTTGTGCCCCGAGATGCTGGCGTCGGATCTTTGTTCGAGCCGGACGCTGTCACCCTGTGTCGGGCCCCAGGGCCCTCGCAGATCGATCCAGCTCGAGAAATGACGCAGGAAGATTGGGTCCAGGGCTCTGGTCGTGACTTTTCACGATGCTGCAATCTTTTCCGAGACGTCGAATCGCAGGGTACTGCTGGCGCAACGGGAGGGTTTCTGTTGCTGTTTTTGGCTTCCCGGGGCTCTCGCCAGGCCCTGGGGCCGTCCAAAGATCCTCGGGGGCGAAGCACCGGCCCCCCTCCCCCGGGAAGTGGTCCAGAGCTCTGGGGGCCCCGTGCGATGGGGGCCCTGGTGACGGCATGTGTCCAGGAGCCAGTGAGCTTCGCTCAAGCAGTGGCGAAGCGTCCGGGCTCGCCTATAGGCCTACCAAAGAGTGTTTTAAGACCTTTTTGTGGTTTGCACGAAATGTTCTTAGAACATTTCTGGCTGGGACTGTCTTGCTTTAACACATCGGGTCAATGTTATAAGAAAAAGTATGTTGGCTCTTCGAACAGATCTGGGTTCTAAGAATATTTCGTGGTAGGACTATAGGAATGCTGGCACGGTCGGTCCCTGCTCAATTCGCCGCATCGCCGCTGCATCGGAAAGTGCCTGGGAATGAGATCGGAGAACCGCACCGCATCGCCGATGCATCGGCGGTGCGACTCGAAGTGGGGCCCCATGCTCTCCACGCTGGCGGCGCTGATGCATCGCCGACGTCGCCGACGAATTGGCGACACGGCGCGATCCTCCGATCCCATCTACGCGAACCCCTTTTGGGAGGCCTCTTGTCAGAAGGAAAAGGTAGCACCACGGTGGGGGCGTTGGTAAAGAGATGTGTCCACAGGGCTCCAGACCCTGGGGATTCCTTGTGTGATGAGGGCGGCGGCGATGTCCATGGCCAAGCCACGATTGGCCTTCCAGCGGCTTCAGACCATGGGTTCCTTATCCAAGGTTTCTTATCCGATGTGTTACGCGGTGTTCTTTGTCGATGTGATGTTTTGGGGTTGGGTGGCATTGCGTGCCAGGTACTTGTTGGCGCACCCCCCAATGCCAGCCATCGTGGAACTTCCGAGTCACAACCGCTCGAACCGCACCTCTCTCTTCGTCGACATTGACGAGGGGCGGAGTTGAAGGGGTGAAGGGAGGCGCCATTGAAGTGGAGCGTCAAACGCCTTCATATTTTCTGTCGAGGGTTGTAGCACCAATACTGCTGCTCGTCCTGGAGAGCCCTCGTCGCCACTGCTGGAGTCGCTCCGAAATTCTGGTCAGAATGCACCTCAGGAGAGTTCCGTGCAGTGGAGCAGCGGCATCGGTATCCTTTGAGACCCGACGCTGCGAGAAAGTTGCAACATCGCAAAAATCACGACAGGTGCCCCAGACCCCATCTTTCTTCTTCATTTTCCCAGCTGGATCGATGTGTGAGGGTCCCAGGGCCCGAAACCTGGCGAGAACGCTTGGTGAAAAAAATGCGACGCCCAGATCTCAGTGATGTTTCGTTCCCCCCAGGCAGGTGCTCTCGGTGGCCATCTGTCCCGACTACGCCTCGGGCGCCGCGGGTTCCAAGACGGTGTGCGTCGGGGGGGAGGAGTGCAAGCTCATCCTGAGTCGCCGTGGCATCTTCGACTCCAGGAGCGTGACGGTGCACGCGGGCGAGGGCGCGGTGTCCATGGTGCGGTGGCGGGCCACGCTGATAGCGTGGGTGAACGCCAAAGGCGTCAAGGTCGTGGACGTAGGGACGTTCCAGAAAGTAACCCACATACCACAGCCACCTTCGGTAGAGCCTGCTGCCAGCGGTGGCACTTCAAGCTGCTGTGTCACGTGGTCTGCCGACGACGTCCTGCTGGTGGGGTGGGGCTCCGTCGTCATGGTCGCGGTGGTGCGTCAGAAGGAGGGTGGGGTGCTTGCTGGCGTCCGCTTCGCGAGTGTTGCGCACTGTTTCCAGCTGTCGGAGGGCTTCCTGGCGCGGAGCGTGGCTGCCTTCGACGACAGTCACCTTGCGATCCTCGCACAAGGGCCCCCAGGCTGTGGCACTGCACACCACGTGTACACTTGGGCTGGGGATCTGATGTGCAGCGAGCCCCTGCCACAGGATGCGGAGGCGGAGGCGGCTGGCTCCAGTGCGCTGCTCTTGGCATGCGCGGCCCACGAGCATGCTACTTTTATTGTCACGGCTGAGGAATTGGTGTCCGTGGAGCGCCGCACTGTGGTTGACCATGTCGACTGGCTCGTGGAACACGGCCGCTTTGAGGCTGCCGTTGCCCTGGCGGCATCCGACGACGGCCTGGGCGACGACGACGCGGGGAAGCACCGCGTCTGCGCCACTTGCGTCGCCTCCCTGCTGGCGGGTGGCGAGCCCCTCCGTGCGACACGCGTCGTCGCCCAGCTCGGCATCACCTCGGCGGAGACGTGGAAGCGGTGCGTCGAGCTCTTCGACGAGGCCGGGGAGCTGACCCGCCTCGTGCCCGTGATCCCCGCGCCGCCGGGGGCACCGCCGCTGCCCTGCGAGGCTAGGCTACACGCAAGAGTGGCCCTTCGCCGGAGAAGCCTTTGGTGCGCGGCATTCGGGCAGCGTGGAGGGGCCCGACCCAAGCGCGCAGGCCACCGCCCTTGACACCCCCCGATCCGATGTGCTGCAAGCCGACGCCCCAGAGGCCCCGACCCCTGCCCCCGGGGGTCTGGGCTGTCGCCCCAGGCCGGCCTGTTTGAGGGCCCTCTGGGGCCCGTCACCCGGGCCCCGAGGGCCGACATCGAGGAGAGCCGGGGCCAAGGGCACCGCGCGCACCGACCGGTCATGGCCGCGCACCGACGGCCCCCTCCCGCCCAGGGCCTGCTCCCCGCGTGCCGCCGAGCAGGTCTACGACGCCGTGCTGCAGCGCCTCGTCGCCGTGGCTCCCGGCGGCCTGCTCGCGGCGCTCGACCGGTGGCCGAGCTCGGTCTACTCCGCCGGGCCGCTGTCTCGCGGCCTCCAGGAGGCTCGGGGGCAACGTTGGTCGGTAGCGTTGAACCGCTTGAGGAGCTTGAGTTCTGGTCCCCCCCCGCAGTTTCTCATGGCGGTGAACAGGGCTTGTCCTAAAACCTCCTCCTCCTCCTCCTCCTCCTCCTCCTCCTTCTCCTCCTCCGCCTCCGCCTCCGCCTCCGCCTCCGCCTCTGCCTCCTCCTCCTCCTCCTCCTCCTCTTCCTCCTCCTCCTCCTCCTCCTCCTCCTCCTCCTCCTCCTCCTCCTTCTCCTATTGGTAGCTCGTTGTTGCGCCGCGGGTGCCGCGGAACAAATAGTTTGTTATCCCCTACTGGTGGGACCCCAATGCTTCAATAAGGCCGCCGAGAAAATGGTTACCCCCTATTAGGGGGGTTCAACAGTCGGACCGAGGTCTAAGATCGAGATCGGTTCGGAGAGGGTATTCCAATGTTCTTTGTGCTTGTCGGATGTTCTTGTGCATCTTGGGGAGGGCACCCTTGGATGTTCTGTGTGTTTGAGCCGGCGGAGGGTATCATGTTCTTGGGGGATGTTAGTATGTCTTAGGTCAGACTGTATCCCCATCACCATCCAGATCCCCACCATCTCAGCCCCCCATTCGGGGAATCTACCCCTCGAAGCCCAAAGGAGACGGCATCCCCATCCAGGGAGGTAAATCGGCCAGTGGGGTCCAGGCCGCGCCATTGGGGAAGGGGTCGGTTAAACGATGCTCTGGGTGACACTCCCAGGCATGGGGTTGGGACCTTTGGGGCGGCGGACTGAAAAGCCAGATCGGTGGATGTCTGGGTACGCTGATGTCCGCGGTCTGCTGCCTTTCTCAGTGGGTGAGGGATCCGCTGTTTTTGAACATTTTCGTCGGTTCCTTGCCGTCTTCCAGCCTCGGGGTGCGCTCCAGCGGCTGCGCCTCGCCGAGGGCGTTCCAGGGGTGCCCGGATCGTCCCGAACGGCCGCGACCCGAAAACCACCCGGGGACACCAGGGGCAACGTTAGGAGGAAATAAGTGCAGGGGGGGACGCATCGGCCCCCAACCGCCTATGGATTGCCGATGGGGCCCTGACAGCCCACCCCGCTGAGGACCGAGCGGACTCGCTGCCGGGGGCCTATCGCCGATCTATCGGCGATGTATCGTCGATTCCAGCTCGATGCCCCCCTGTGCCCTGTGCGTGTTCCACCCCTCGCACCCCCCCACCCTTGGAGGCGCTGCCGGAGCAGCCGGACACCCCCGAGCAGCGCCGGTTGGCAGAGGCGCTCGCCACGCTGCGGGAGGCGCAGGTCGGGGGGGGGGGGGGCAGGACTGGTGCAAGTCGTCCCACGGCGCTCTGGGAGGCTCTCTGAGCGTTCTGCAGCGCTCCGGAACGGCCGCGGCGCCCGACCTAGATCCCCGAAGATACGATTTGTTCAATCCCGGCGTTTCCGGCTCGAAAAATCACGTAGAAATATTGGATCCGGGGCTCTGGTCGCGATTTTTTGCAATGTTGTTTTTTCGCAACGTCGGATCTCAGGGGTCTTGTGCATAGGTTTCCTGCCCGCAGAGGCGAAAAATTACGCACCGTACCGCGGAAGAGTTGGCTCCGAAGTGCGTCGAAACCTGGCACGGTGCACGGTCCCCGCTCTCCCGAGAGCTGCCCCGGTCCGATCCCCAGACCGATAGATCCGAGCCGTGAGTTCCTCCAGGCGCAGGGCGCTCATACGCATGCGGGGCGCAGCCGTTCGACCACCTCTGCGGCGCCCCCCCCCCCCCCCCCCCCCAAGTTGACCCTCTCGAGGCCGATAGCTGTAAGTCGGGCCTGTCCCTCTACAGGGGGGATATTCAAAAGATCGTCTGGGGACGAGTTGTTGCATTATTTTTGAATATAGTTGGAATATGTTTTGGCTATGTTATATGTTTCGTCCAAAATCCCCTTTGTAGAGGGGGACAGGCCCGACCTGGCGATAGCTCGAGTGGCCGCAGCCCTGCTCTGTCCCAGCCTCGGCCCCGCCCTGCTGCAGGGGGAGAAGGCGGAGGCCGCGCGCCTGCTGGCCCAGATCGGCAGCGAGCTGCTGTTCCCGTTCCTGGCGCGCCACCTCGACGGCGACGCAGCGCTGGGCGCGAGCGCGCGGGGGGGCTTCGGCCGGCTGTTCGACCTGAGCCCGGAGGAGCCTCGGGTCGAGCAGTGGCGAAGCGTCACGGCTCGCCTACAGGCCCACCGAAGAAAGTTCTAAGAACCTTTTGTGGTCTGCACGAAATGTTCTTAGAACATTTCTCGCTGGGACTGATTTGTTTTAACACATCGGGTCTATGTTCTAAGAACATTGTTTTTTGTTTACAATTCGAAGAAAATTTCGTGGTAGGCCTACAGGAATGCCAGGACGGTCGGTCCCTGCGCAAAGGACCCCAGGTAAGGGGACCCGGTTAGCAGTAGGGCCCTGGAGCCCCCAAATTGGCCAGAATCACTAAACCAGGTTTGCCGTAACTTGTGCTTTTCTGGGCGACGGCAGTTCCGATTCATGGCACGGGGCGGGGAGGGCGTCCCCCGGCACACATCACGAAACCAGGCCCCACTAAACCAGTTCTGCTCACCGAGCGCGTTCGACTACTCGCAAAGTGCCTAGTCGCAGACGTCCGAAAAAAAAACACATGTCTGCTTTGATGTAATGTATCGTATGTCGATCTCCCGCGGGGGATCCAGGCCATTTGCGAGTAGTCACGCTGCGAGTTGTGGAACGCGCTCGTCTATCTGCCAACGCCCGACCCGGGGGGGGGGGGCGCGCGAGCCCGGGCTTCCCAGGCGGGGCCTGGGCAGAAGGGGCCCCATGGACCTCCGAGGATGCGTCTCCGCGCCGTCGGCTCCGGCGCGCGGCACTCCGTCGTGGGGAGGGCGCTTCGGCCACCAGGGCAAGCGCCGCCCTCGGGCGCGGTGGGCTCGCCTTGAAGGTTTGCCGCGCGGCGGCCTCGTCGACTCGGGGCGCGGGGCGCAGGGTTTGCCGTGGACTTGCCGTGGTGCTGACGTCGTCCACTGGGGCGCGTCGCGGACAAACGGCGCGACGACATTCGATTGCCTCAATCCGGCGGTTGTTCCTCCATTGCGGCCTCTGGGGCCCTTTGTCAGGCCCAGGGGCCATCAAAAATGGATCCCAGACGAAAGAACACCCCCAAGGGAGGCGCAGGGCTCGACCAGAACTGTGGTTTGGCGATTTCGTCGATTGTTTTCGAATTGACTTCGTTTGACAACGAAGGCGGAACGAAGGATACTGTTTTGGTCGAGCCCGGGGAAGGAGTTGGGGCAACGATCACAGCGGTGGACGTCATGGTCGGAGGGCCGCGCCGCATATGCAGATGCGTCGGCGATGCGGCTGCATGTTGAGCCCCGTCCTCTCCGCGCTGGCGACGCCGATGCGTCGCCGACGTCGCCAATGCATCGGCGATGCGGCGCGATCCTCCAGCCCCATGTACCCTTAAGGTCGGGCCTGTCCCTCCACAGGAGGAATATTCAAAAATAGTAAACAAATAGTCTGGGACGATTTTTTAAGTATTTTGTTGACTATGTGGGGCACGTTTGCGTATTTTTTATTTTTCGTCCAAAATCCCCCTGTTGGGGGACCTGCCCGACCTGAATGTGCCCGGGCCTCAGCTGCCGCGACACGCACGTCCTGGAACGCAGGGCGCGCCGTGTTCGAAACGTGAGCACGCTGCGTGCTGGCCCGGCACCTGCTCGGCTCGCGCCTCGGCGAGCGCCTCGCGCCAGGCCCGCGTGTCTCGTCCACGCGTCGAGCTCCGTGGCAGCACGCCTGCGTGTTGCGTGTTGCGCATCGGGGCAGCCTCGGCCCGGACCCACTCGGGAGGCCTCTATCCAGGCAGGTCACAGGCTCAGGAGCGAGCAAAAAGACGTACGTGTGCATGGATGGTCGTGGGCTTCGAGAGCATGCATTCTGCGAAAGTTCTGAGCACGAGGCTGGCCTCCGGGACTGGGGGGGGTCGTATTCCTGTACGTTGCTGGGCACTGGGCACGTACGTCTGATGTGGGCTACCGAACAGGCGCGGTGACCAGGCAGCACAAGCCAGTCACTAAATTTGGGAGTTCCCTGATCTTTTCCCTTAAACATGCTGCCCGCTCTGTTACTGAACGGATTGCGCGCCCTCGTGGCCAGCACCTCCGCGATCTCACACGATCTCACAGTCACTACGCCTGTGCGTTCCTCTACACCTTCCTCATTCGACCTGCTCCCTGGGTCCGTGCTGACCGGTTTGCGCGCGCTCGAGGCAAGGGGGGGGGGATGGCGCAGTGGCCCCCCGATCGCCCGCTGCATCGCGAGGCGCCCCACCCTGCCCTGAAACGGGGTTTGGCCGTGGAGAGCCGATGTCCGATCTGTCGGCGACACGTCGCCGATTGGGGCACCCATGCTTCCCCAGACATGCTCGCGCCGTGAAAAAGTCACGACGGCAGGTTTGCGCCCGTTCTTGGCCTCGGCGGGCTCTCGCTGGGCCCCAGGACCGTCAAGAAACGATCTTGGCGTCCCCGACGGGGTCGGAGTGGATGGGGCCGGAGGATCGCGCCGCATCGCCGATGCATCGCCGATGCGGCCCGATGTGCAGCCCGATTGCTTCACATCGATGTCGCCGATGCATCGCCGACGTCGCGATGCATCTGGAGTGCACCACCGATGCACCGCCGATACATCGGCGATGCGCCGGCGATGCGG